TATTTTTTTATTTTCCTTGTTATAGATATCATAATATATGTTTAAGAGCCTACTCTTTCTTTGTTTATGCTCTTTTAGAACAAGAAAGATTATTTTACTTAACTTTATTTAAATATTACATTACTTGGCTTTGACTGCAGATCAAAATTATTCAGATATGAGTATACTCTAATAATTTTACTTTTTCCAAGTTGTTAGTTTAGTTGAAATAAATTTTAGTTTTTCTTGTTTTTTTTTCTCGAAAAATGACTTGTTTAACCACCTCGGGAAAGACAAAAATGTACCATTTAGTCTTGGTTCCAAATATTTATTGATACGGAAATTCCTTGGATAAACAAAAACTGAGGTTATATTCGTTTGTTTGTTGCAGCATAAAGAAATTCAGAATAACAAACGTCTCTGTAGAATTATTCAACTTAAAAAGATTAAATAAACATCAACATAAACTAAACAGATTAAATAAATAACATGGGCTTGGATAATTTATCGAACTATACGTTGACTAGAACTGAAGAAAAGTTTCATCTGCAGGTTTGGAGTTTTTGATCAGTAGATTTAAATTAGATTTTGCAAATTTCTCTGCTTCCTTTGTAACTTTTTTAAAAACAGTTAAAGAAAGAATTTATATAAGTTGGATTAGAACACTTAATAACATCGCCACTGCGATTTCAGGTTTGGCCCTGAATGCTTTTTACTCGTTCAGATTTAATGATTCTCAACATAATCTATCTACCGAGGAATTTGATGTTCTGAAGCTTACAACTTCTCTCAAAAACTGTTTAAACCTGATAAAGATAATGGTATAATTATTTTAGATAAAGATTCCTTTGTAGGTAAAGTCTGTCAGATAGTACACGGTTTAAAGAACTGAACTCTGATCTTACTCTGAGAAGAGGAAGAAAATTATAAGTACGGCTGTTAAAAACTTTAAAAGATTGATGTCATTTATGAAGAGGTTTATTATAGCATTAGAACCATAAGTTCATAATACGATGTTCTTTATGGATTATTTAAAATTTATAAAACTGATTGCCCCATTCGACCCATCTTATCTAACCTAGGTAAGTATAGTCATGAACTAGCAAGTTTTTTAGTTGATATTATAAAACCATTCACCATTAACGAATACTCACTTAGAGATAGTTTTGACTTCTCTGGGTGTAACAGGATTCTAAATTTATTTGAACCTGTGTATAATGCGAGTTTTAATAAAGAATCGTTGAACACTAATATCCAGTTAAAAGATTGTTTGTTTGTTTGTTTTTGAATTTCGCGCAAAGCTACACGAGGGCTATCTGCGCTAGCCGTCCCTAATTTAGCAGTGTAAGACTAGAGGGAAGGCAGCTAGTCATCACCACCCACCGCCAACTCTTGGGCTACTCTTTTACCAACGAATAGTGGGATTGACCGTCACATTATAACGCCCCCACGGCTGAGAGGGCGAACATGTTTGGTGTGACAGGGATTCGAACCCGCGACCCTCAGATTGGGAGTCGAGTGCCTTAACCACCTGGCCATGCCGGGCCCCAGTTAAAAGAAGTAATTGGTCTAAGTACTAACTTGATATTTGTAAATTCTGAAGTTGTAAATGATTTAATTAATCAAGATGCCTTTCTTAAATTGCTTTATTTTGAAACAGAGGAAAAATTTATTATAAAATATATCCTAAAACCTCAATTACGCATTAAAGTTTTTTTTTCAAGCTGGAAGATTCTATTCCACCACTATGGCGGTCGTATGTTGTTTACAAACTTACATGTGCTACTTGCAAACAGGTTGATATTGATTCCACGGTACACCATCTAGCGGTGCGAATCAAAGAGCATCTCCAACCGAACAAAGGAAATCATTCTGGTATTTACCGATACTTGTTACGAGACATCTTGTTATAGACGTCAGCTTTCTCTGCTCACAATATTAACTAGAAAACGTTGCGGATAAAGAAGACTTTAATAATTAGACATTTCGATCCAAACCTACCTCTTTTCGTCTTTTCCGATTGAAATCGTAGGTATTCTATGAACTGTAATAACTTGTTTGTTTTTTTAGCGCGAAACTGTTCAATAGGGTATATATGCACTGAGCCAACCACAGGGTTATAAACCCTGAAGCTTACCACTGAACCACAGGGGCTCTTTAAATAACAGACGAAATTGAAAAACTGTTGTTATAAAAATATGATAGTATTTTTAATATGTCTTGAAGTATATCCTAACTTGATTGCCAGTATCGTAATTTGTATGCTTTTGTCATGGCTGAAATAGTTACTGTACAGTAGGCTAAAAAAATACCAGAAGCAGGGTAAGTGGTAGATTTGTAACAACTGTACTATTTAATGATTATTAATTTTTAATATCTACGAATATGTGAAAAAACTAATAAAAATGCTATTCATAAAAGTTATTTTCGCTTGCATAAAAGGCTTTTATGCTTCTTATCTTATTAACAAATTTACACGCATTTTGTTAGTTAACCCGCTTTTCTTTCACTTATTGATGTTGCTCTTAATTTATCTTCAATAACTAGTTTAAAGTATAACTTTAATCAGGTGTCTTCACGTACATTTTGAAAATTTTCTTGCAGGTGTTCTGCATTTAGAACGACAATTTTTAACCGAATGTTAAGAGATCATGAACGTGTACTTTACTCAGGTAAAGACTGCGTATACCAAAGACTAGAAACCACTGACATGGATAGCGCACGCCATTGTCAGGTATTACAGGGGTTGAAGTCAACGGAAGACTGCCAAAAAACATCTTACAACACCCTTACAAAGCCTATCCCGCTATATTAGTATGTTATTACAGGGTTGTGGTAATTTGATCAAGATGTCCTACTGTTCGACCTTTGGATGTAGCAACATATCGACTAAAAGATGTGGCAAGGTGTATCATTTGTTAAGTAACTCATTGCGTATCAGTTAAGAGAATGTTACTAACTAATTTATAGAAAAAGGGTAAGTCTGTAACACACAAACAAATCCATATCGAAGTTGATGTGTGATAAATTGAACTTAATGCAAGATACATGTAAATACTTTGCTAAGCATGAACACTGTTTACTTAATAATTTTAAATAATAATATAATATAACTTTATTGGTAATATTACATGTAATTGTACTGACTCAGCTTCATTATCTACACAAACAAGGCTATTTATATAGGCTCTTTTGCTAAACTATTCGCTCCCAGTGGTATTGTAATATGTGTTAGTGCAAAATAATGTGTTTTTTATGATTATTTTAGACCACTTACTTTTAATTCAAATAGATGTTTTCATTTATTTGTCAGTACATTGTTACATCAATCGAAAAAATATCTAATTTGTCAACAGAAAAAAAAAAATATAATTATTAACGAACCGACTTTTTCTAACATTAAACCCTAACTGTAATAGTTAATACAGTAAGGTAAAATATACCAGAATCAGGGTAATTGATATATTTTGTTACAACTTTGCTGTTTAGTTTTTACTAATTTTAATATTTACGAACATGTGAAAATAAATATTATTCATAAATTTTACTTACGTTTCCATAAAAGGTTCTTGTACATCATGTCTTACTAACAAATTTAAACGTAATTAGTTAGTTAATCCGCTATTTTTTCACGTATTGCTGTCGCTCTTGATTTGTCTGTATAAATAATTCCTTCATTCAGCAACAATAGAATTTGTAGCAACTGATAAATAAACATTTGTTTTGGTTTTGGTTTTTCTTGTCAGAATGGG